CCCGAATCCACAACATCAGTGCCTTAGCCATGGTTATCTGCTAGGCGTTCACCTCTTGACAGATATAAACTAATATACTAATATAGTATTTGATATATGGAATGAACTTTATATTCTATTTAGTTCTCTTTTCCATTCATCACTGCATCTACTTTAAATTCAGGTAGCAAAATACTCTTTCTGAACTCTAGAAGAATCATAGTGTTTGAAAACTGGAAGACAGTGCAGAGATAACCCACCCCAGGAGTCAGGCTATCATAAAATAAATACGCCCAGAAAAACTATACTACTTGTTCAAGGTCAAGCAATGAATCTTCTGCATCTTCAGCCATTAAACTCTCTCTGCTGGTCTTCTGCAGTGACTGATCACACCCAGGAAGTCTGGGCACATTCATACAACCTAAGCCTGTAAAGTTCAAGAGTCTTAGCAAATCTGTTACACTTAGTTCAAAGTCCAAGGATTCTTGTATACTCTCCCAGTAATTTAGTCTCCCAGACTAATTTAAAGGACTTTGAGCATCCACCAAAAAAGAGCTCTGATTAAAGATAATGATGGTCCAGAGGGAACAGCTTTTCCCTTGAGTTCACAAGAATAAGCAGTCAAAAAGAGCAGAGCTTTAACTCTTTACAAAAAAGAACCCTAGGCTTCAAGGTTTCTCCTGGAGCTTTCTTCTTTCTCCACAACTTCTGTTGTGTGATCCTATGCTTGGGAAGACAAATACTCAGCCCAAATAGGGGCCAAATGCAGGCCATCGAAGTGCAAATTATTGAACCAATGTGTTTTATTGGGGTTGCTCACAGCAGTGTGTATGTGAATGCAGGGTTATCTGTAGGAACAGAAGAGCAACAAAGAACAACATCACCGAAAGCCCCTGGTGACAACTCATGAAAACTGAGAACCTCCAGGTGGCTCCCCCGGTTGGATACAGCCCTTTTGAGGCAGTTCAGTTGGTCTCTGCTTTCTCCAGGCAGTTTGGCTTATCTCTGAACAGATTCTAGGCAGCTTGTTTGGTTTGACGGTGCCTCCCAGCAGTCTTTACTGCTTATATACGCTTGGGTTGGAAGGAGCCTACCTAATCTGGTCAATTTCAGGCACTTCCTGGAGCCTTTGTCCACTTGCCTATTTTAACAAAGCTTCCCAACAAGATGGAAGGAATATTTCACTTCCCTTTAAAACACCCTGCATCCTAATGACCTTACCTTCACAATGAAACATTTTATGTTGCAGGAAACAGCAACACAATAACTTTAAAGAAGCTTACTCAGTGATAACAAACACATTGGAAAATACATTGATTTAAAAATAGGCAATCATGGTTGCAAGCTGGAAGGATAGCTCCAAATTGCAGACCAAACTGTCTACATAACAAGTTCCATTCTAGCCTAGACTGCAGAATTCAACCATGTCCCCAAAACAAATAGGGGGACCAAGCACATTGATGCACACCTTTAATCCTAGCGTTTGGGAGGCAGAGGCAGACAGATCTCTATGAGTTTGAGACCAGCCTGATTTACATAGTAAGGTCCAGGCCAGTCCAAGGCTAAATAGTGAGATCTTATCTAAAAAAAAATGCTGGGTGCAGTGGCTGAAATCCCAGCACTCAGAGAAGCAGAGGCCAGCTGATCACTGTGAGTTCGAAGTCAGCCTGATCTATAAAGTGAGTCCAGGAAAGCCAAGGCTACATAGAGAAACCTGGTCTTGAAAAACCAAAACAACAAAGGCAGCAACAGCAACCCAATAAAATAAAATGAATAAGAGGTTGGAGAGACAGCTCAGTGGTTAGGAACACTCCCTGATCTTGCAGAGAACCTGGGCTCAGCTCCCAGCACCTACATGGTGACTCCCAACCATCTATAACTCTAGTTCCAAGGGAGCTGATGTCCTCTTCTGACCTCCATGTGTACCAGGTGCACATAGTGCATGTACAGACAAATATTCAAGCACATACAACATTTAAAATAAATAATAAATGAGTCCTCTTAGTCAGGCTGAAAAGTAGGGAAAATAAACTATAGGTACTTACATCTAAAGGGTGTTTGTCATCACACATTGCTATTGGATTCAATAAAAGTCACTATATCAAGGATAAATCATTTTAAAAATCATTTGATAAAATGATCTGATACAAAACAGACTTAATGACCTTTGACAACAAGAACCGTGACTGTGTCTTTTTTATTGTTGTAGTTTAAATTTGGGGTTTTTTGTTGTTGTTGCTACTTTGTTTTTTGTTTTGAGATAGAGGTTTTTCTGTGTAGCCCTGGCTGTCCTGGACTTTGTAGACCAGGCTGGCTCTCAATTTACAAAGATCCCCCTGACTCTGACTCCCTGAGTGCTGGGATTAAAGGTATGCATCACCACCCCCGGCTTGTAGTCTAATTTCTCAGAGAAGTTTATGGCACAGAGGTAGAGACCAGTAATACTTGTACAAAAGCAATAACTTCCTCAAGAAGTGGAGTACAATATTCCAATGTACTGCCATGGCACTTGGGCTAAAATGTTAGCATGGTCAATGAAAGCTTTTCTATGTGCTTTTTTTTTTTTTTTTTTAACTTTTTGTCTTGTTTGTCATGGTCTCATGTAGCTGAACTTTCTATGTAGCCAAAAATGATCTTGAACTCTTGATCCTTCTGCCTCCACCTCCAAAATACTAGGATTACAGGTGTGCACCACCATAAACAACCTCAATCTTCTTCCCCCACCTTCTCCTCCTTCTCTTCTTTTGCTTCTTCTACTTTTGGTTATTGAAGACAAGGTTTCTCTATATACCCCTGGCTGTCCTGGATCTTGCTCTGTAGACCAGGCTGGCCTAGAACTCAGAGATCTACCTGCCTCTGCCTCCTAAGCACTGGGATTAAAGGTGTGCCCCACCACCACCATTTTTTTGTTGTTCATCTTTAAAGCTACCATTTATATCAAATAAAATTCTCTAACCCCCAATATTAACAGTAATTTGGAGAAACCTACGAGTTGAGAAATAGGAACTTAAAAATTGAAACAAACAAAAAAATAGCTTAAAGGCAGGAGAGAACTAACAGCTCCAGGAATTATAGGCCATTATCTGAGGAGTAATAGAAGCCCAGGGGAATGAGGACTTTGGAGAAAGGACAGCCTGTGACCTGTGACGTACTTGTACAAGCTTGAGAACCTGAGTTCAATGTTCAGAAACCACATTAAGAAGCCAGGCCGATGTAATCCCAGCACTCAGGGAGGCAGAGGCAGGCAGATCTCTTGAGTTCAAGGCCAGCCTGGTCTACAGAGCAAATTTCAGGAGTGCCAGGGCTATGCAGAGAAACCCTGTCTTCAAAAACTAACAAACAAGCAAGAAGAATAAGAAGAAGAAGGGGAAGGAAGAGGAGGAGGAGGAGAAGAAGGAGGAGGAGGAGAAAAGGAAGCAGCAACAGCAGCAGCTCGGCTGAGGTGTGGAGCTGCGTGCACACCTGTCATCCCAGCGCTGTGTGCAGCAGTGACAGGAAGATGGCTGGGGTAGGCTGGCCACCAATCAAGCTTCAGGGTCAGTGAGAGACCCTGTCTCAGCGTAGAGGAGACACCTGAGTCTCTTCTGGTCCTTTCATTCACACCACACACACACAAACACACACCACATACACATAGTACATACACACATTATATACATACACCACACTCACACACCACATACCACACATACACTGTATGCCTATACACAAACACACACACTATCTACACACACATACCACATACAGAAACCACACCTCTCTCACTCACACACACACACGTGAATGTATATGTGTGCACACATACATGCTCACAGGTGGACGTACACAGGTGCATACATAAAATAGAAAAGATGAACTCATGCAATGGTATAAAAAACAAAACTCTAAACTTCGGCAACTCTGTAAGCCCAGGAAGCTGGGGCAGGAGGACTGAGAGGCTAAGACTACCCTGGTCTACAACACAGCAAGTCTTATATTATTTAAAAAAAAAAAATCCAACAGGTTTTATATTAAAAAAATTTCAGAAGAAAAAGAAAAGAGAGGGGAAGAAAGCAAATTTGTAATAGCTGTGTTAATGTAAAAGTAGGTATATCCAGGGACAGAGACAAATATTAGAGGTGAATTCCTGCTTAAGGAGCCCACACCAACATTCAGATACATATTACTTTCTTCATTTTTAAAAATTTTTAAATTTTATGCATATGTATATTTTTGCCTTTGCATATGTCTATGCCCTGAGTGCCTGGGGCCCACGGAGAACAGAAAAGGGCACTAGAACCCTGAAACTGGAGTTACAGACAGCTGTAAGCAACCTGGTAGGTACTGGGAATCAAACTCATGTCCTCTAGGAGGGCAACAAATACTCTTAACCACTGAGCCATCCCTCTAGCCCTGTCTTGCTCTCTTCCAACCCCCTCTTTTTGTCCTAACATTCATACTTAAGTATATACAAAAATATCTTTTAAGAAACTCTCCAGTTATATGTCTTAAGGAAACAAAAAAAAGAAAAGAGAAAGAAAAGACTAGGAACAAATGGAGCGTTGGGGTGGCAGGGCTATGAAACAGAATTGAGAAAGGAACCACACCTAGCAAAACCAAAATCTGTGGATACATGGCTGTTTCTAGCAGAGAACTGCTAGTCATTTGGAGAGTTGGATAGAAAAGGTTACTCAAGTTATCAGGTGGCAAGAAACATGGATGCAAGCCAATTGGCTACATGAGAGATACTTGATATAAAAATAGGCAGGGATTATGTGAGAGCCAGCCCTGGGAAGCTCAGCCAGAGTTGCAAGGACTTGCCTCTCTCTCCTCGTCAGGCTAGTCTTAACATTTCTTTGTGAGCTTTGCTTCACTCTGTGGATGGGTTTCTTTGCTCACTTATCTGCTTCCACGTGGCCTAATAAAGCTGCCCCAAATAGCAGAGTTGGCATTCCATTTGTGCCCAGTTTGTCTAGCCAGTCTGCTGAGCAACCAACAGTCCTTACCTGACTGGGCCTCAAGGTCCACCAGGAGTTGTGATCTGACTGCTGTAGCGTCTAAGTACTTACGGATGAGGGTCAGCAAACTATTGTCCTCATAGCTAAATCCAGCCTGTTTCCTGTAAATTAAGTTAAAGAATGTTTTTACATTTTTATTTGCTTTGGGGGGAGCAGGTGTCACAGCACAAGTATAGACATGAGGGAACAACTTACAAGTACAGGGAACAACTTACAAGTACAGGAAGAGTCAGCTCTCTTCTGTGACCTGAGTCTCCAGGGTCAAACTCGGGTTGTCAGGCTCGGCAGCAGGTGCCTTTGTGTGGGAAGCCACCTCCCTGGCCTGTAAGTGGATTTTAATGGGTCATCACTATGCATATGTATTTGCATGTCCTCACTGTGAATATTTATTTGTACGTGTCTAAGGCTACTTTCACATTGCAGGGACATAGCTGGGTAATTGCAACAGAGAACTATGGACTAAAATGGTTACCTGGACTTTTACAGTTCAAGTTGGCTGAGCCCTGCTTTAATATAGTTAGATGTAGAGATATGAGCACATTTAAAGATTCAAGAGGTCAGCTGGGCTTTCTTAGCTCTGAGGGTGGACCGCCCCCACCCACTCACCAGAAAACAGTGTCAGAGAAAGGCTATTGAGGAAGTATTTTGAGGAAGGAACTGTTTGAAAGTTCCATGGAAAAGAAGACAATCTAAAGTATGCGCTTGATTTTTTTTTAAAGATTTATTTTATGTATATGCACGTGTTTTCATGCACAGCAGAAGAGGGAATCAGATTCCATTACAGATGGTTGAAAGCCACCATGTGGTTGCTGGGAACTGAACTCAGGACCTCTGGAAGAATAGCCAGTGCTCTTAACCGCTGAGCCATCTCTCCAGCCATGAGCTTAATTTTTTTATACAAAGGGTGGAAGTTCATTAAGATGATAAATTTACGGGAGTCTGTCATCTTAACCACCTTTAAATAATTCACTCATAGCAAATTTTGTAAAGCCTCTGTAGTTGGTACTTACTGACATGAAATAGCCAAGGCATAAATTTTGCTGTGCATGAAATGGTATTTTGTTTGTTTGTTTTTGTTTTTCAATACAAGGTTTCTCGGTGTAGCCTTGGCTGTCCTGGACTCTCCCAGTAGATCAGGCTGGCCTCTGCCTCCCTGAGTGCTGGGATTAAAGGTGTGTACTACCACACCTGGATACATGAAGTGTTCTTAAATGCCCAAAAGTCACTTTACAAAGACAGAGATAGACAAAGAGAATGAAACAAACAGATGGTAAGAAAGCCTGAGACTTCAGCTTGGGAAGGTACCATAAAGTCTAAAAGTCATCATTTTGGTTGACATACAATCAATGTGGGGAAAATATTTCATTAAAATGTCTGCTTAAGGGCCTGGAGAGATAGCTCAATGGTTGAGAGCATTTGCTACTCTTGCAGAGAACCCACATTTCCTTACCAGAATCCATGCGAGGTAACTCACAACTGACTACAACCCCAGCACCAGGGACATCCAATGCCTTCAGCCCCACGAGCACACGTATACACACACAGACAGACAGACATGCTGGGATTATAATCATGAGCCACCACATCCAGCCAAATAGATTTTTTTAAGTGTGTGTATAAATGTTTATATGTATGTGTGTACATATGTATGTGTGCTCATGGGGCTGGAGGCATCGGATGCTACACTGTCTCGAAAAACAAAACAACAACAAAAATCGCATGGGTAATTCTATCACAGAAAATCAAATCAATATTATAAAAATACGTTTATCTCCAGGGGAAGGGGTATGCATGGCACGAGAGAACAACTTGGGGGAGTGATTCTTTCCTGCTGCTATGTGGGTTCCAGGAGGACTGAACTCTGGAACTCAGTCTTAGAGGCTAGGGCCTTCAGAGCTGAGCCCTTTTGCTGACCCCAAACAATACTCTTTAGCGCGGCCTAGTGAGGCCGACCTTATCTGGGGCCATCACAGGTGAGGAGCACTGCAGCGGCCCTGCGCAGTAGGGCACAGAGGATAGGCTCGATTCCAAAGCGGCAGCCAGCCGGGGCGAGCGCAAATACCTAGCAGGGCGGAGATCAGAGATGAGAAATTCCTGAGAGAAATCCCCAGCGGTGAGGAAGGATTCAGGCTATACTGACCCAGCAACATTCTTGCTGAAGACAGACAAGGTATCAGACAGACATCAACCTATGGACGGCAGCAGTTGAGAAAGCCAACCAGGGCAAAGGGTTCTGGCTACACTGACTTTGTAGAGTTATTTGCTAAAAGGTGAGTTAACAGTAGTAAATGAGACTGGGGGAAAGTTTATACGAATGCCTGCCTGCATCTGGCCAGCCAGAGAGCCGCATGAACACCTAAAGACACTAAACCATAAGCAGCCCTGAGGCACACAGTGCTTTTGACTCTGAATGGAAGTTGTTTGCTTCATGATCTTCGGATGCATCTTTTTTTTTTCTTTTTCCTAAAACTGTTTTTATTTATAAATGAAATCTTGCATGGAACCCAACTCTAAAGACAGAAAGAAGGTTTGCCATGATGGAAACCAGAGCTTCACAGAGAGGGGAAACCCAGCCATCTCCATGTGTTCCTCCAGGAACACAGTTTGAAAACTGTAACACAAGGAGCAAAACTAGCATAACTGGTCAGACCCAAGGTTAGGCTAGAGCGCTTCTTAGGGTACCAGAGACCTTGGTTTCATTCAGTCCAGAGCACTGAGAAAAGGAAAAAATAAAAATAAAAGAAAGAAAGAAGAAAAATAATAGGTCCCCGCAATCATGCTCCTGAGTCTTTTTCCGCTTCATTTTACTGAGTGCTTTCACCATAGTGAACTCCTGTTGGTGATGGGATAGTTTCTGTCTTGAGGCCCCTGGAACAATTGTAACTCTTGAAAATCACTGTGTAAATTTCTCCTCCTCCACCTTCTCACTTTCATTCATTAAATTTATTTATTGTTTCAGTGTGTTTGTGTGGGTGTGTGTCAGTGTCTGTGAGGTCAGAGGTCAGAGCATCTGTGAGGAGGTCAGAGGACAACTTTGTGGAGCTGGCTCACTTCTTCCACCTTTATATGGACCCTGGAGATAGAAGTTGTGAGGCTTACACCAAAGGGTGGCAAAGGACCTTTACCCACTGATCCATCTCACAGGCCCTTACTCTCACACCCTTACCCCCCATGCCCACCCTTTTTAATTTTTTTTGAGACAAGGTCTTATTATGAAAATGAAGCTGACTTAGAATTCACTGTATAGTGCAAGCTAGCTCCAGACCCTGGGTAATCCTCCTTCCTCAGCCTCCCAGGTTCTCGGTTTACAAGCATGAACCACCATGCCTAACTAAAATTCTTTCTAAAATAAAAAAAAAAAAAATTAAATTAAGGTAATCTCAGCCAGACACAGTGGCTCATGCCTGTAATCCCAGCACTCAGGGAGGCAGAGGCAGGTGACTCTGTGAGTTTGAGACCAGACTGGTCTACAAAGAGAGTCCAGGACAGCCAAGGCTACACAGAGAAACCTTGTCTCAAAACAAAGCAAAAAAAAAAAAAAAAAAAAAACCAAACAACAACAAAAAAGGTAATCTCAGGATTTCTGACAGAAAACCAAGAGGTTCAGGAGTTCAAGGTCATCTTCTAAGTAGCAAGTTAAAGGCCAACCTAGGCTACGTGAGACCCCGTTTCAACAAACCCAAACAGGGACATCCAGATGTCTTAGCAAGACTGACAATCTGAGTTCGATTCCCAAAATCCACTCGATGGAGGAACCTGACCTTTGCAAATCATCCTCTGACTTCTACATTTGCAGCATGGTCCTAGAAAAGATTAAAGGAAAACGAAACTATATAATTGATTGATAGCAAAAGTGGCAAATCTGGGCCGGGGCTGCAATTGGTAGAATAATACATATATATATAGCCTTGCATGTACACAGTTCCATCCCCAACACTTCAAATTTGGCACATGATATACACCTGTAATCCCAGCACTGGGAAAGTGGAGGCAAGAGATTCAGAAGTTCAAACTGCCCGTGGCTACCCAGGAAGTGGAAGGCCAGATTGGGCCTTTCTCAAAGAATAAACAAACAAACACGCACACACACACACACACACACACACACACACACACACATACACACACACACATACATAGGGCAGTCAGGAGTGCTGAAGGGATTTTTTATTCTATTATATAATCACTTGTGAACTTTTACTCCTCCGTGGTGTTGCGGCAGGAGCTAGCTCCCCTTAGGCAACCAGGGCGAGGCCCAAGGTGGCTCATGAGCTAGTCATGGATCTAGCACATGTGACTTCTCCTTTGAGTGCATGAGTAACTCCCTAGGAGTGCCGGGAGAACATGCCTGAGGTCTGTGGGCTTTTTCTGGCTGGGCCTGAGATTCTCCCCGCAGCATGAGCAACCCTAATATAGGTTAGCTCAACCTCCACCTTGTTCCCACCCGGTAAAAGACAGCTGAGCGGGCGCCTGATGCGGTTCCTCTCTCGGAGCCCTGCTTTCTTCCTTGCCTTTCTTTAACGGTCTCCATCGCTTCTTCTCACTCCTTATCTGCTTTTCCTTACTCTTCTTGGCAACTGACAAGGACCCTGGAAGACACTGGCTAGGGCACTTCAGTGGCTGTGTCTGCCTGGCACCCTCGCTCCTAGAGTTAACCCCCCCCCACCCCCCCAGAGGTAAGAAAAGCTTCCTGACGCTCAGAGAGCCCACAGCAGTGTTCATGCTGCTTCTGGAGTGAGGATTTTCCAGTAACCACGGGCAACCGCTTCACTCACATCCTCGATTATGCCAAGCCCTGCACCTTAAAGTCCTCAGGTTCCCCCTTTTCTTGTCTACAAACATGTCTAGAATCAGAGCTCCTCTTTCCACCCATACCTAACCCCGACAGAGCCACTGTGGTCTCTCTCTGAAGAGAGTAATTTAAACAACCTCTTTAAAAGCCCTACTAAGGCGGGGGGGGGGGGGCGGGAGGAGCGGGGAAAGCCCTCCTAGACTCATTCTAGGCAGCATTTTCCCTTTGTGTGTGTTTTCTTATTGAGATAGGGACTAACTGGGTAGCCCTGGCCTGCCTGAAACCTGTAGACCACACAAGCCCCAAGTCAAAGACCTGCCTGCCTCTGTTTCTCAAGTGCTGGGAGTAAGCGGGTGCACCAACAGTATTTTTTCAATGTAGCGGCCAAAATACACTGCCTAAAATTTGTCATTTCATGCCACTCCTCACCTTAAGTTCCTCAACGGCCTCCCATTCAGCTCAGAAAAATGCCAGAATCCTTACAAACAGCCCACAAAGCCATGCATGAGCTCACGCCTTCCCCCTCTTATACTCAGCTCACAGACCTTTGCTCTCTGCTTGGAATGTCCTTGCCCAAGAACCTGCTTAGCCAATGGTCTTATCTCCATTGAAGCCTTTGCTCAAATGCTGCTTTCTCAGCGAGCCTTGCCTCGGCCTCCTTATCTGAGACCACACACACCCCTGCCACATCCCAGGATCTCTGGTCCTCCCCTGCGGTGCCTAGATGCCTATTTCCCCGTAGTATCACTAGATGGCTTACTTATTATACTTTGGGCAGGCCTGTCTCCTTCCCTAAAAATTAACCCTTGAGGTGCAGCAGTCTTTGTTTTCTTCACTCATGTATTCTAAGCACCTGGAATGCTGTTCATACATCATACACATTCAACAAATATTAATACTGACAGAATTAATTAATCTGTTGTATGGTTAGAATTTTGTAAATATTTATTGCGGTGTCTTATCTGAATAAAGACGAAAGTAAACTGACTCATTTAACAATGCAAATTACTTCACCAGTTATGAGTTCTCCATTCTTTCTCCTTTTACAAATATTTATTTATGGGACTGGTGAGACGCCTCAGTGGTTAAGGGCACTAACTGCTCTTCCAGAGGACCCAGGTTCAAATCCCAGCACCTACATGGCAGCTCACAACTGTCTGTAACTCTGAGATCTGACACTCTCAAATAGACATACATGCTGGCAAAACACCAATGCACATAAAATAAAGCTAAAGAATTTTTAAAATGTTTATTTATTTATATTGACTCTGGCAAGGTCTTGATATTTAGACCCTGATTTTGAGATTTTCTTGCTTCTATCTTTCAAGTGTTGGGCTTACAGGTACTTGCCACCATGCCCAGCTCTCTGCCTCAGTTTTCTTTTTATGCTATCAAAAACAAAAACAAACAAACAAAACCTCTTACTGAATACAACTCTAGTTTAAGCTGATGCTGCATTTTCTCACTCAAGTGTCTATGTTTCTCATGCATCATAATATCTAGGCCATTTCCATTTTCCCAGTCTTCAGCCATACCTGCTATGTGTACAGAACTGAGTATGAAAGAGAAGGGTCAGTAACAGAATTCAGACCTCAAGCATGTTAAGTAAATGTCCTATCACTGATTTATATCCCCAATTCAACCGAACCAACCCAACCCAACTAGTCTCTGTCTCTGTCTCTCTCTCTCCTTCCTTTCTTCTTTCTTTCTTCCATTCTTCTTTTTTCTTTCTTTCTTCTTTCTTTCTTTCTTTCTTTCTTTCTTTCTTTCTTTCTTCCTTTCTGTCTCGTGTGTGTGTGTGTGTGTGTGTGTGTGTGTGTCTCAACCAGGTTTTGCCATTCTGGCTTTGAGCTCAAAACAATCACCCTTCCTCAGGATTCCAGAATGCTGTAACTACAGGCATGTGCCACTACATCTAGCCACACCAAATTTTCATGTCCACATCTCTTCCATCTTTAGGGCTGCAGAGGCTGCTACGCTGATGGAGAGGTGTTGGTCCCAGGCAAGAAGCCTATGATGAAACTATTGTTTGCAGCAAAGACAGGAGAGAATAGGGCTGACTTGCAGAGAGTGGGATTCCAGGCTCTCCCTCTGTGGGAAATTGTCTACCCACCGACTTCTCTGAAACAGGCTGAAGGGAGCATCAAGGGTAGTAGGTGCAGTGGGGTGTGGTTTATAACTCTTCCTTGGCTCCCTTACAAAATCTCCAGTAAAATGGCCATTGCTTATAAATATTTGAAAGGCACATTTTCATCTGAAGGGATTTGAGTTGTTTTGATTTGTTCTTCCAGGTTGGTAGAGGTCAAAAAAGGAACCTTGCCAAGGCAGACATTTTGCAAAAAAAGTTTCAGGTGTCAGACTCGCTAAAAAAAGATGTAGTCAGTAAATAAGGGGGATCATAAAGTGACAGAGATAAACATTCTTTCTGGGTTGGAGATTGACTCCCTGAGATCACTTTTGAATGTGTAAATGTTATGCCAAGTAGGGAGAAATTGGGAGGGGCCTCTCCTCTCTCACAGACAATCTTTTTGAGGTTAGTTGGTTTCTCTCATAAATAAGTAAAGTCTTAAGAACAATACAAAAAAAAAAAAGTGTTGCTAGCCAGGGTAGAAGAGGAGCTTCACAAATGTTTGGCAGGAAAGTGTCCTGCCAATAGAGCTGGAAAGGCCCTGGGGCCCACAATGTGCACGCCTCGACAATGAGTGGAGAACACAGGTGAGAGCTTCAGGCTTTTGTAAAAGAGGTTGGTGGGTTCTTATACTGCAGAGTTGTATAGCAACTTGACAAGAGCTAAAGTCATTTGAGAGGAGGAGCCTCAGTTGAGAAAATGCCTCCAGAAGATCTCTGTGTAGCCTTGGCTGTCCTGGACTCACTTTGTAGACCAGGCTGGCCTCAAACTTACAGAGCCTCCTGTTGCTGTCTCCCTGGGTGCTGGGATTATGACATTTTTAAAATTAGTGAGCAATGAGGGAGGGTCCAGCCCATTGTGGTGGTGCCATCCCTGGGCTGATGGTCCTGAGGTGTATAAGAAAGCAGAGAGAGCAAGCCATATGGAGCAAACCAGTAAGTAGCACTGCTCTATGGCCTCAGCATCAGCTCCTGCCTCCAGGTTCCTGCCCTGTTTGAGTTCCTTTCCTGACTTCCTTGGATTATGAATGATTTATATGGAAACAGAAGCCAAATAAACCCTTTCATCCCCAAGTTGCATTGTCATGGTGTTTCATTTTAGCAATAGTGACCCAAACTAAGACAGCCCTTTGAACACAAAAAGGCTATTAATTAATGGTCTTGGGCACATTTTACCCAGAACTGCCAGTGGCCACACCCATCAGGATCCCAGAATTCCCAACCAGGCAGCACACAGCCACCACACAGCCTAAGAACCAAAGAACGCAACAAAAATCAAGGAACAAAATGCCCACCCAACAAAGAAAAGAGCAGATATCAGCACCTAGAGTCACAGTCTTCCTAAACTCAGATGCCAGGATGCCATTATTAAAACACAATCAACAACAGCTAGGACAACAGCTAGGGTCTCCACTAGAGCCCAGCAACCCAAACATGCTAGGCCCTGGGAACTGCAATGCACCTGATGCACACAAGTCAAAGACTTTAAAATAGCCTTTATGGATATGACAGAGGCTTTAGAGCAGGAAATTAAATCACTTTAAAAAATCTATGAACCAGGTGTGGTGGCACATGCCTTTAATCCCAGCATTCGGGAGGAGGCATAGGCAGACACATCTCTGCTTAGAGGTCAGCCTGGTCTACAAACCAAGCCCAGGATAGCCAGGACTATACAGAGAAACCCTGTCTCAAAAATAAAATCTATAAAAATACAAACAGTGGAAGGAAATAAATAAAAAGTTCAAGACCTGAAAGTAAACATAAAATAAGGAAAACCCAAACTGAGGGAAATCTGGAAATGAAACACTTAGGAAATTGAATAAGAACCTCCAAGGCAAGCCTCCCTCAACAGAATACAAGATAAGGGAGAGAGGAATTCATACCCTGAAGACACCGAGCATACAGAAAAAAGTAAGAATATTAAAATCTACATAGGAAAAAGACTAACTTATAAGAGATAGCTCTATAAGAATAACTTCTGATTTCTCAGTGGAGACTCTAAAAGCCAGAAGAGCTTGGGCAGATGTTCTATAAATTCTAAGATAGCACAAATGCCAACACAGATTACTATAGCCTGCAAAACTTTCAATCACAATAGAGAAAATAAGACATTCCATAATGAAACCAAATTTAAATAATATCTCTCTATGAATCCAGGCCTACAAAAGGCACTAAAAAGAAAATTCCAACCAAAAAAGGTTAACCACAATCAAGAAAACCAAGCAACAAATAATCTCAGACCAGCAAATCAAAACATACACACACTCACACAGCCACCACTTCCACAACAACAGCAAAATAATGGGAATCAACAAACACTGCTCATTGATATCTCTTAACACCAATGGTTTCAATTCTCCAATAAAAAGATATAAACGAACAGAGTATTTGAAAACAGGATCCATTTTTCTGTTGCATTCAAGAAATACACCTCAACATCAAGGAAAGATGGCGTTGAACTTCTGATTCTCTTGCCTCCACTTTCCAAGTGTTGGGATTACAGGTGTATATCACTATGCCGGGTTTATGAGGTGTTGGGGATGGAGCTGTGTACACGCAAAGAAAAAGAAAAAGAAAAAGAAAACAAAACACTACCACAGCTTAAATCGCGTACTGACCCTCACATACTGATAGTGGGAGACTTCACTAGCCCACTCTAACCAATAGACAGGTCATCCAGACAAAAACTGAACAGAGAGATGCTGGAGCTAACCGACGTTATAAACCAAATGGACCTAACAGATATTTACAGAACATTTCACCCAAACACAAGAGAATGTACCTTCTTCTCAGACCTCGTGAAACTTTCTCCAAAACTGACAACATTCTCAAACACAAAGTAAGTGTCTTAGGATATCATTGCTGTGAAAAGACATAGTGACCACAACAAATTTTTTTTAAAAATTATTTATTGTTTTATTAACTACAGTTTATTCACTTTGTATCAGACCTGTAGCCCCTTCCCTAGTCCCCTCCCAATCTCACCCTCCCTCCTTCATATCCTTCCATGCCCCTCTCCAAGTCCACTGATAGGGAAGGTCCTTCTCCCCTTCCCTCTGACCCTAACCTATCAGGTTTCATCAGGACTGGCTGCACTGTCTTCCTCTGTGGCCTGGTAAGGCTGCTTCCCATGTCAGGGGGAGGTGATCAAAGAGCAGGCCACTGAGGTCATGTCAAAGACAGTCCCTGTTTCCATTACTAGGGAACCCACTTGGACACTGAGTTGCCATGGGCTACATTTGTGCAGGGGTTCTAGGTTATCTCCATGCATGGTCCTTGGTTGGAGTATCAGTCTAAGAAAAGACCCCTGGCCCCAGATTATTTTTTCTCTCCTTGTGGAGCTCTTGTCCCCTC